TATTTCCAAGAAATAATTTTTTTTTGGTATAAAAATTAAAGACCATTCAGTTTTTGAAATATACTTTGATGAATTATTTTAAGTTTTTTAAACGATAATGTTATTTTGATTAAAAAACTTAAATGTATCGATTGAAGATAATATAGCTCGTCAGCCAAGAAAATCTAAATCAAGACAAGAAATTCTTAAAGCAAAATAATCATTTGTCTTCCAAAATAAATTCTTAGATCAAGAAAATATCTCTTGAGTCAACATAAATTTTCTATCAGTGCATAAGCACAATCGCGGCAACATCCCCTAGGCTGACCCTTTTTATTTACCAATTATCAAGTTAGGATGAAAAACGCAATTTGAAAACACTAAATTGATTAATTTTCTGCAAATTTTTAGTTGAATGTCAACAATCAAAAAAAAAGTTTCACTTGCATCATGAAGCTGAAGCTAGCGGCCAAAGTAAATAGCGGCCAAAACAAAAACCAGGGCCGAAACATGCGAAGAGCGCCCTGTTCCTAAATAAAATTATAAAAATGAATAATTTCAATTTTTTTGCATTTAAAGTTGACTGGTAAGCAAATAAAACGTAGGAATGTTCATATGCGAGGGTCAGCTGAATTATGTGGGCCAGTACTCTAGGCTCTCTAAAAAATTTATCGCTCCGGAAAGTTGTTAGTTCCATTTTTTGGGCTATGTCAAGGTCTAACATTATTAGGTGGGCTCCCAAGATGGAATAAACGTAGATAATCATGGCCGATTTGTCCCCGGTAAAGTAGATTTCTGCAGTACGACATTGGGCCTTCTGCCTTATCGACGGTCGTTGGTAGAGTTTCTGCGATATCGATGGTTGGTTTTTGTGTTCTTTTTTACCGACTGTTGTTGGGGATTATCATCCCCTGATAGCCAAACCGGTCGCAATTTTCCGTTAATTTGCTGCAGCAACTCGTCACCAAGTTGGCGGCAAGTCTTGGAAATGAACTCGGTTGTTCACCAAGTTGTCGCCAAGTTGTTGGCAGAAATTGCTTTCGAAACTCTTTCACACCAAGTTGACGACAAGTTTCTCGAGAAATTTGGCGACATATTGCGGCAGTAGATTGGTCTTGTTTTTCTCAGAAACTTGTAGCCAACTTGACGCCAAAAGTTTCAAATTCGGAAGTTGACCGCAAGTTGTCGGTAAGTTGGTGGCAACTATCTGACAACAACTTGGTTGGTCTGAAACTGTAGCTATCAGGGTCGATTTGTTGGTCGATTTTTTACCGACTGTTGTTGGGGATTATCATCGATTTGTTGATTGATTTCGTTGAGGTCAAAATGCTACCACCCCAACAGCAGAGCTGATACCTTTGCCGTGTATCAGCTTTGGTGTTGATGTCATATGCACTTATTTGATGTGATGAAGAATTTTATATATATTCAAATGACTTGTGGTATAAGTATATGCGAGAAAGATCGATACTTACGCCGCTCTGGTGGGATTAAATGGAGGTATTGAAGTTTATTGATCGATTTGAGGTAAGTTTGATGTCAATTGGTGGTCTATGTTTTCGACAATCGGTTTGATACCGAATATATGTTCTGTTTTATCGACGTGGGGTAAGAGTTTTTTCTGAATTTTAACGTTTTTTAGCCTCTTTCTCTCGATTACATCATGTTTTTTACGTCATCCGACAAGTTTGAACCTGTTTTTTTCGCGTCGTCATCGTGAATTTTAACGGTTTTTTAACCCTACCCCTCTCGATAACCTGTTTTTGGCGTTGTCATCGTCGTTGAGAGGGGATCGTTAGTGGGGTTATACTTACTTGCCTCTAAATTTCAGTCTTCTGCCTGCAGTTACTTCAATCAGTCGTTCAGTTTAAAAAAAATTTGTGTCTTTTTTTAAAAATATTTAAAATTGTGTACTCTACGGAAAATCAAGTAAGTCATTTATTTCATTATTCTATTTCATAACTAATTTCTACTATTATTATTA